GGCTGAGGTGCCAGGCGGCGCCACCAGGGGCCGCTCGATTTGCCAGCTCCACGCGTTGCACGTGAGGCTCACGTTCGTACGTCACCGTCGTGCCGTCACGCACGTCACACGCTGCCTAGCAACGCACTCCTGTTTGTCCGACTTTAGTCCCCCGAACCCACGTTTTGCACTGGATGCCAAAGAAAGTACTGCCCGGCCCCAGAACGGCAACCACGGCAACGCCCCAGCTCCTCATTTTCGACGGTGGCCCCTTCGGTGCCGTTGTCTTTCCCGGAACCTCTGCTCCCGCTGCCCCCTCCCGTACCCTCTCTGGGGCGGATGCCGCGGCCTGCGGGGTAATAATGCCAGTCTCGAGTTCCAGATTTCGCTGGACTCCAGCAAGCCAAGGACAGGGTGATCGCAGCCAACGGGGTTCCCCTAAGGGCTGAGCTCCCGGTGTCAGCCGGAACCCCGGCTTCTCCCTTATTCCAAAGGAAGACAGGTTTAAGGTCGGAAGAGCAAAGATCCCGACCCTTGGGTACGGCGTCCGTTTGTCTCACCGCCCCGGTCAGGCCTCTGTCCCTGCCTGGAGCGCTGAGCAGGGGCCTTGGCGGGGCGTCATGGAGCCTCCGGGGCCGTGTGGGACGCGTTCCACCCGGCAGCCCCCTCGTCCCGGTCCGTGACGCCGCCCTCGTCTGTTCTCGCTGCCGCAGATGGCTCAGCGGAAGATTCGAGACATCCTGGCCCAAGTGAAGCAGCAGCACCAGAAGGGACAGAGCAACCAGGCGCAGGCGCGGAGGAAGTGACCAGCACCTTCCCGTCCTGAGGACGCGGGCCAGCCGAGAGCCCGCTGGCCCTGCAGGCCTGAGAATGCGTGGGAATCAGGGACCCCTGGGGCCGGCGGGAGATCAGGTTTGCCCACCTGCTTGACAAAGCTGTTCGGTGAGGAACCCTGATCTCTGCCTCGGTCAGACACCTGAACACCGGCCCAAGCAGCCCGCCCACCCCTCGGGCGTCACCATGGAAACTAGCTCAGGGTGCTTTTAAACGTGGATTGTGGGAGGAAGCTCTCCAGGCCCCACCAAGACGGTGGGGTCGGGCCCCACGGGGACGAGAAATAAAATTTCCTTCAGGTTTTTAAAAACCTCAAAGGACGGTTTGTTTCTTGACCCTAAAATCTTTCCAGTTTTCTTCCCCCTCCTTGGTTAATCGATTAAAATACCTCCAGTCTCCTTCCTGGATACCACTTCCTCCTATGTTCACGCTGTTTTATCTTTACTGCTACCAGAATAACGTGGGGACTAATGAGTGCAGCGTGGTGGTTGCTGTAACAGCAAGTCTGTGGAGAGGGCGCGTCCTCCAGAGTTTAATTCCAATCTTTCCCGATAGGAGCCACAGGGAATAAAAGAGGAGGAAAGCCTGGCATGGTGGCGCACTCCTGTCATCCCAGCACTCAGGAGGCTGAGGCAAGAGGATTGCTGCGAGTTTGAGGCCAGCCTGGAATAGCGAGCCCCTCTCTCAAAAGCAATAAAACAAAATTAGAAGAGGGGGGAGAAACGGGAAGAAAGATGATTAAAATCAATAGTAATCCACGTTTAAAAGGAGAGCCCTTGGCCTGGGGATCTAGCTCAGTGGTCCAGCACTGCCTAGCAGGTGCGAGCTTTCGATCCCCAGCACCACAAAAAAGAAAAAAAGAAAGAAAAAAAAAAAAAAAAAAGGCCTTCCCTGTGGGCTGATCTAGTCCACATTGCCACTGTTTTGGAAAATTGGCACAACTCAAATCTTCCCCAGTCTGTCCGGGTTTCCCCGCCACACGCAAATCCCTTGAGCCCCGGGGGTCCCGCCTCGTGGTGGGGGGCGTGGGCGGCACTGAATGCCCAGTGGGGTGGGCAGGGGCTTGCCCTGGCCCTGACGCCCGTCATTCTCAGGAGGATTTTATATTTTTTTTAAAGTCTATTTTAATGATTGGATATGTGAGCACTGGGAAGGGGACCTGAACTCCCCTTGATAAAGTCTCAGCTCCGCAGAGGATTGGGGGGCCCCAAGGAGCCCTCGGCCCAGCCCACGTGCTGCCGGAGGGTTAGGGCTGGTTCCGGGGGGCGTCCCCCACCCCAGCACTGGCTGCCTTGGTGGTGGTGGGAACCCGGCCCGCCCCGGCTTCCGGTCGAGCTAAAGTCGGTCATCTGGCAAATTCAGTCAGTTCGAGAGAATTTGCTTCTGCTTTTAATCCTAGAGGAGTATTTGAACGGGTGGCTTCTGGCTCCGGGAATTCTTAACTGTCGTGGTGAGAAGTGGGCCTGACACGGAGTCCCGAATACCAGTGACCCGATGCGTAGAGAGGGGCAGGAGGACGTGAGGTTCGTTCATTCGTGTGGCCGGAAGCTCAGCCCTCGAGGGGACGGCAGCCGTCCGTGAACTGGTCCTAGGGCTCGGGGTTGTCATGCACGTTACCCAGTGGTGCACTTTAGTGACCCTGGACAGAGCTAGCGCGTGTGCTGCGGGAGGAGGCCTCCTCCTGATGCTGCAGCAAGGACAGCGTGTGTGGTGGGTATCAGGCAATGCTGTGTGTGAAGTAAACTACCTCAAGGTATGAAGTTACCTCAGCAATTGTTTTCCTTTTTGTTCCCCCTCCAGCCCTGTTTTTTTTTCCTCTCCCCTCCCCACCCCGTTTTGTTGCTTTTTGTTTTGAATTATTTTGATTTTTTTTTCTTTTTTCCTTTTGCGGCTTGCTGATATTTTATATAAAAAAAGAAAAGCGAAGCAAAAAGAGAAGCTGATAGTCTTGAATATTTTATTTTTTTAATGAAAAGAAAAAAAAAAACGAGAAAGTTATGTTGCATGATTTCTTACGATGTGAGCCAGTCGCCCTTGAGACACCCGACTGGACAGCAGGCCGGCTGGGGAGGCGCGGCCCTCGGG